CTTTACTATAGCAATGTAAACAGGAACCAACATGGGCAGATGCCCTGCTGGGGTGAGAGCAAACAGGATTCAGTTGGCAGAAGCTGACAGCGGACAGGGGCAAGAGGATGAGCGCTCAGAAGGCCCCTTCCATTTTCTGCCTGATGTGGGCCCTCACCACAGGGCAGGCAGATACTGACTCATGCTTCTGACCCTTCAGACCCATAGCTAGATAACCACCTTTAATTTACATACTGGCTAGCTTTGGGTGTTTTGTTGCAGCAACAGGAAATGGACTATGACTCCCCATGGTCCTTGCACACGCTTCTTGTCTTGTCTGCACAGGATATGTATGTCCCCTGGGCCTCACAATCTCTCAGGGGAGGGGATGGCAGGAGACCAACTGGAAACTTAAGCAGCATCTAGATTTCAAGTCCCTTGCAGAGTTGGGCTAAGACGGGTTAAGGCAGTGGTTCTCAACTAGTGGGGGTCGAACGACCTTCTCATTGGGTCGCATATCAGAAATCCTGCATATCAGATATTTACATTATAATTTGTAACAGTAGTAAGATTACAGTTTTGAAATAGCAATGAAAATAATGTTATGGTTGGGGTTACCACACATGAGGAACTGTATTAAAGGGTCACAGCATTAGGAAGGTTGAGAACCACTGGGCTAAGGCAAAAGTTTATAGAAAAGCATGCGGTTGGGCATGGTAGCTTGAATTCCAGCACGCAGGAGGCAGAGGCAGGAGGATCTCTGAGTTTGAGGCCAACCTGGTCTACAGAGTGAGTTCCAGGACAGCCAGGGCTACAAAGAGAAACTCTATATTGAAACAAAGCAAAGCAAAACAAAAGAGCATAGAAATTAATCAAAAAAGGAAAAATGAAAACCTTGATGTGTGATGTTGTAAAATAGAGCAAGGTAATTCTAAATGCTAGAACTTTCTATACTCTCTTCTCCTGTCCCTAGTTAGATAAAGGTAGAGTGTCTGTTATCGGCTTTGACTAAAATAACTTGCACCTGGGGAATTCGGCGTCTCCAAAAGATGGCACCTGAGCATTTGTCCACCCTGGCTTTGTGATGCCACCTGGATTTCCAGGCTCTGAGACTACCCAATGTCCACCCCTCATGAGGAAATGAGCTAATCACCAACTAATAACGAATCTCATTTGGAACTACAGAGGCATTGTGTAGCCCCTGGAGGGTTACAGGGTGAGCAGAGGGCAAGCCAACCCTACAACACGAATCTGAACACTGCAAGCCCAGATCCTTGCATGTCAGCATCTGCTGGAAGCAAGTCATGGGTATATAAGTGGCCCCTCCTGAGTCCAAGGACTTGTCTGGACAATGTGAGGGACTCCTTATGCTCAACCCACTAATGCGGGGTTTTCAAATTAAGACCAGGATGGAGTTTCACGCCAAATGACTTGCAGCGTGGGGTGCAGTGGTGCAGTCCTGAAGTCAGTTTCAGCACACAGGAGGCAGAGGCAGCTGGACCAGGAGTGCAAGGCAGCCAGGATTACATGCGACTCTGACTTTGAAATCCATAAAATAATGATCACAACATTAATACCTTACGCTAGGCATCTGAAGGGCAGGCAGGTGGGAGACACACATTTCTATCAGGTTAAACCATTTGCAGCATCAGAACTGAGATGATTTGACTTTTGGTGGCAGTGATGGTGGAGGTCTAAGTTAGTGCCAACGACGCCTTGCTTGAATTGTGTGTGGTGAGTGTACACTAGCTTTGTTAAACAAGCAAACAGACAAACACACACACAAACCAATGTTGGGGTGAGTATGCTGTTACCACTTGTTGGCTCTCATGCCACACCTCTTTGCCTGGAAATTTCGACAGGAAGTTCTGGTCTATCCAAGCCCTAAGACCCACACTGCAGTATGAGCCTAAGTTTCCCAGTGGCTACTTGGGCAACCTCTGAGCTGCAGGTCAGTGCCTAACTCCCCTCGGCCCTACTTTAAATGGTCTGCTTCGTTCTTGTTTTGTGAATGTGTCTTCAATAGAAGGATCTCCTTGCCTTAGTACAAGTATGGCTCTGATGGGTGTACTCATCAGATCTGCAGTGTCACATAGTGACCGCCACTGAACTCAAGAGCTGCGGAAGGGTCTTGCTACTTCTGACATTCCAGGGGTGCACAGGCCAATGGCGCCCAACCACGGAAGCACAAGAACTGTCATGGATTTCTCTTACATGTTTTTCTTTATCCTCTCATGGTGAAAAATGTCCTGGGCTCATTATCTGAACCCTGGCAAGGCATTTCAGCACCGCTCCACAAAGCAGGAAAGGATTAGCAGAAGTGGTTGTGCCATACAGAACCAAGGCCGAGAACCTTGCCTTCAAGGTAATATATTTACCCATACACATTCAGTATTGGCTCAGAGCACCTGAGTGCTTCAGAAGCTAATTGCGAGGGCTTGGGGAGGGATTGCTAGAGGGACCTGTCAGCAAGGTTAGTGCCCCTGTTTCCAAACAGCAGTGAGTCCTGACATCTAGTCCTGCTACCCAGTTGCTAGGCAACAGGTTAAAAGGATGCTACTTAGTGGGCATTACAGGATTGTGGGCAGCACAGCAAAGTATGTGAGAAGCCTGTTGTTCTCTGGCTAGCTCATTTGTCATTTATTGGAACAGGCCAGGCATGCTGCCCCACGAAGACCTTTGAGCTTCCTACCTCCTGTGACCCACAAAGGCAAACCCATTTTTCTTCTAGTCTATCACTCACCCTGTCAGCCATCCCTGGAACCCTGATCCCTGTAGTTTGTGTTCCCTCTTCCTCTTCCTGGTCTCTTTATGCTCTGTGCTCTGGTCACCCTCTGTCTGCACTGGAAAGGGCTTGAGCTCCTCTGCCGAGCTCTCTCTGGTCTATCTCCAGAACTTAGGACATGTCTGGGGCTTGGTGTACCTCAACTTCTCTGAATGAATGAATGTCTTTTCACATAACGTTTTCTAAAAGGCAGAGTTATTGCTTCTTGAGATAAAGTGATATAAGTCCATTTTAGAAAAATTTAAGGTACATACTATTTTTTTAAAGGAGAAAAAAAGTACCTATAATTTTCTCAGCTAGAGACCAATCACTGGTAATGTTCTACAGACGTCCTGCAATTTCTCATTTTCACTCCATGTTTAGCGACACAGAATTCCACTCTAACCGCATTTCCTAGCCGTGTGCTAGTGGGTTCTCACTCTGCTGTTGGGCACCTCGGCTGTTCCTGTTGTCACTGTTTCTAGAGCAGGCAGACACAGCACTTTCAGTTTGAGCCTCTCTCTTGTTTAGATTCCTTAATAGATGTAGAGTCATCAAGTCAAGGGGTTTGGATGGGGCTATGGAGGAAGGGAAGGACGCCACATTCTCCCAAACATAGGACCCTGGACCCGCTGGCTCCTGTGCTCCAGGTGGCCCCAGAATGGGTGTCACCAACCTCAGGAGGATGACAAAGGGGTTCAACCTCTAAAAGAATTTCGAGCCAAGGGACACAGACTCCTCAGGTTACAGGCGAGGTTACAGAGATAGGTCTGAGGGACATTTCTTCCCTTGGTTCTGAAGCCCCAAATCTATGCTCTGAATTAGCACTCTCCCTGCCATAGCAAAGGCCAGTAAATAATTCTGGCTGCCCAGCCCAAATACTCTCTGACGTCATTTCCCACCTCTGATGCCGTGGCATGGTGTTCAGATGAATGAAGGTGTGGCTATAATTTAGAATGGCATGCAGTGGTTGGGGCGGGACTCTGGGGTGCAGTTTTTACTCTTGCCCCACGTCCCACAGATTCTCAAATCATTTATTCTCACTTGCTAATGAAATGACCTTTCCTATTTTGATAGATTTGATTTTTCAGTGTTGGGGCTTGAACTTGGGGCCTCAAGCCTTAGCGGCTTAGATAAGATGCCTATGACTCCTTGCTAACGTATCAGGGTAGTAACAATAAAACATTCCCGATGCATCTGAATTACATCACCAGTCTCTCTCCTGTTGGGACTAATTGAGTCCTGGCCTTCAGCTGCTCTTCCCTGTCTAGAGCCTTCTAATGGTAGTTACTAAAAGCTGTGCTTTGTCTAGAGGATCAGAGGATGGGATTTTCACCTGTTGGCCATTGACTGCAGGGTATTTAAGCCTCCATGGTGCTATTAAAGAGGGCTTTTTGGTGCCAGTGTTGGAAGGTCTGTGTGTTGGTCTGTCTCTGCGGGTGTATTCTCAACCTCCAGCCCCTTGCCCAAAGCTTGCGAACTGGGTTCTAGCGCATAGAGCGCAGATGGGGGAGGGGGGCATACGTGGCATCTCCTGTGATGTTTGATGCTCTAAGTGGAACAGGAAAATAAGGCTGTGTTGCCAACATAGTAGGTACTTTGGCAGCAAAGCCCAAGGGCAGGGGACACACGGCAAGCCATTTCTGTAATTTCCTTAATGAGAACCGGTTTTATGGGCACATCCACTCAGGTGGTTGCCGCTGTTAAAGTCAGGAAGTCCGCAGGCCTCGACGTTGTGGCAATTGAGTCATACTCCGAGGGTGGGTGGATGGGTGGGTGGGGGGGAGTGGGGCCCAGGATCGATTACAGCTTTGCCTGGTGTGACAACAATGCTTGGTTATTTTTCTGCCAAGCCTTATGAGTTCCTAGTAGCCATTATGTATGTTATTTGCTTTACGGGTTATCTACTTTCCCGTTACATTCTTTGATTCATCCAGTGATGGATGACATGCCTGTTAAGTTGGCTAATCTCTTTTTCACACATGTATGAGGAGTATTTTGGTCTCCTCCACCCCCGCCCCATCACCATCTCCTACTTCCTTCCCATTGCCACTGATTCCCTCCTCTTCCTGGCTAGGTTTCCTTTCCACCGCAAGTCTATCTATCTCCCTCTCTCTTTGCCCCTTCTTTTTTTTTTTTTTTTTTTTTTTTTTTTTGGTGACCGAACTGAGTTTCATTAGAGTTACAGGAGCTTGGGCACCTTAACGGTCAATACCTCCCCCACCCCCACCCACCAGTCACTATTAACTGCCAGTAGCTCCTCAGAGAGGGTGCAGAATCAGGCACCCCTCCCCCACCAGCAACTGTGAACCTAACTGCCTCTATCTCCTCGGGGAAGCCGCCCGATTTAGAAGCAGCTAGAAGTGCCTCACCTGGTAAGTGGTCCCAGCCAGCCCTTCACTTTCCCCTAGGTGCTATGGGAGGATCCTGTTTGAAGATCCTCCCAATTTTAACCTTTTCTGGGTGTTTCCACCCATGGACACGCAGTTTTTCTCTCATTGGGACTGGCAGCACCTATTCCTCCGATGCCCACTTTAGGGAACCTCTAGTAAGGGGTTCCGGCTGCGACATACAACGTTATTGGACTCTTTCTCACCCTAATCCATTCCTTTTCCTGCCAGGGTTTGCCACCACTCAGGCTGTGCGGGGTCGGGAGTCTCAGGTTTCACACATACTGTCAAGTAAACGGTTTTCCAGACTGCCAGCGGCACAGGGAATTCTCTGGGCAAGCAGTAGACGGAAGGAGCCAACCAGACCAACGAGGCGCTTGACTGTTTCTCTTTTAGCCCCGTGCTTGTGGTCTAAAATCAGGAGCAGCTGGGAGCATGAAATGACCATTTGTTTCAGTGCCATTCCTGTTTATAAAAAGTGGAGGACACAGTTTTGCTTCTGCTATGGTCTGTATTCATTAAGATGCAGGGAATCTTTGGTGAGTCTTTAGTGAGTCTTTACTGCCCTCTTGTGGTATTTAGCTCCTGGAGCAGTTGCAGAAATGTGCCGAAGGTTCATGGGGGTAGCTTGTGGCAGTGGAGTCCCAATGAATAACGCAAAGTGACGCAAAGACAGCACCTAGTCCATCTTCCCAGAGGGACCTGTGCAGAGAGACTTGAAGCACTGAGAGCCAAGTGCTTACCAAGGACACTAATGGTAAAACGCCAGAGGGTATTTTAGAATTGCCAGGCACCTTAACTTAGAAAAAAACCCCTGCAACCCCCAAACAATTATAGATCATTTTGGGTCTTCTGAATGCTCTACAACTTCTGCTGCACTCAGACTCTGCCAGCCACAGAACCGAGAATGGATTGGAACAGAGAGGGAGGCAGTGGAGTTGCCAGGGCCCCTGTGGGCCGAGAGCCACAGCATCCGCTTTAAAGAGAGAAGCAGACAGCAATCTGCGGAATGACGGGAAATGATGGGTGTCACATGAGGGCGGAATTCAAATGAAAAAGTCTCTACTGTGTTCAGCTTGAATTGCAATGTGCACAAGAAGCCGCCTCCTGGAGTTAAATACTCAAGCTGCCCAAGCCAGGGCCGACCCTGAGGCTGGCTTTCCTTCCTGGTTGGATGGACAGCCGTGAGAAAGACACAGAGCACTGTCCCAACCCCACCCCAAAGGGGCTCGAACCTGTGCTTTCACACAGAGGTCTTTGTGTCTGCTTTTATGAGTCTGCCTCTGTGGTGCTGGACCCATTTGTTCAGCGACTCAAACATAAACGTCTCCTAAAGTGTCTTGAAGGGACAGGAGCAAGCATTTTTGAAAGAAGAGCCATCTGCTATTAAATTTAGCACAGAACTTATAATATTCTGTTTAAGCCTTTGTTCGTGGAACATTTTAAAACCATATGGTTTTTTAAGACTCGGGCATCTAATCCTAGCTCCGTGGGGCACCTACTTCCAGACCAGTTACAGCTGGACTTCTGTGTTCTTCTCTGAGCTTCATGGCCATCAGCTCACAGGGAGGCTGGGGATGTTCAAGAGTGGTCATAGACTGGAATGACACTTAGGATATCCTTAATTGCCTTGGGTCTCAGTTTTGCCTTCTGTAAAATGGACTGAAATGCTACCTCATGGCAGATGAATGGGATCTTCCATTTCTACTGGCTCAGCACTAGACGCTGCCCCGATAGTATCCAGCCATAGCCCTTCCAGGTGTCAGGAAGTATCAGAAGAGATTCAGGATGGGTAGAGAGTAGTAGACAAAGCCTCTGCAGGGCTATTCCTTGAATAGGTAGACTCAGAAAGGGCCAAGTGGTTCTACTGGAAGAGCTAGTCTTTAGAGGAATGGGGGGATTCTGGAGGAGGAGCTTCAGTGGAAGACCAGGGTGTAAATCCATACCTTTTTCTGTGTCTGTTATATGGGGAGGGCACCAGTCTGGTGTAAGAAAATTTGGGCCACTTTTTTATGTGGATCTATGTCTGGGCCTGGGGTCTTCGGAAGCTGTGGAAAGCTGACGTGTAGACTCTGTTGCAGGCTGCAGCAGAGAGGAGCTAGCTGAAGCCTAAGTGGCTTCAAGGGTAGAGAGCCTCAGACGGGAGAGGAGGATGGGCAGGCAGGAGGTTTGCCACATACTAGGTGTAACCCATAGGCCTTGAAAGTGGCCAATGGAGACACATCAGTGCGTTACCCTACATGGGTACTCACAGGCTACTGGGGGCCAGAGCAGTGTGGGATGCAGAAAGAATAACTCTGATTTTAAAAAATGAGACGGTGGTGCCACTCCCTCGTGTGGCCAATCACTGGTGGCTCTTTCTGGACCAAAGGTCCTGCTTATTTCTGTGTAGCCTGTCAGCTAAGAGACACACATAGCGTCTGGGGCCAGACATGGGCTGGTGGCTGGCAGACTTTCATAAATGCCCACAAGGTGAAGATTAGGCTGGGGTCAAGCGAGAGCAAAGCCCCTCTGAGGTGTGGGGGAGTGACCATCCTCCTGTTTTGCTTCAAGGCTGGGGTACATTACCCCAGCACGGGTGACATTTCCTATCTCTGGCAGATCACACTGGTTTTTTTCCCCTAGGGCTCATCATAAAAGGGCACAAGAAATACACAAAATAAGAGCAAACACAAAACTCCCCAGGAGGAGGCTCTGTGGGCGACCATGTGACCTGAGCCACTGGACTTCTCTGTCTCAGGTGGGAGAAGTGGAGTGAACCACGGTCCAGTTGGTGTTTGTATTTGCTGTGGTTTAGATGTGAAATGTTCCCCCACAGGTTCATGTGTTTGAATACTTGGTCCCCACTGGTAGCCCTGTTTGGGAATGTTTTGCAACATTAAGGGAGAGCCTTATGGAGGACACGGGTCAGTGGGGATGGGCCTAGCCCCACATCCTGTCCAGCCTCTGTTTCCATGTGCAGAGGCAACATGACCAGCTTCCGCCATGCCTACCCTACGATGGACTCTAATCCCTCAATAAACCTTTCCTCTCTTAAGAAATGCTTCTTGCCAGACATTTGTCATAGCAGTAAGAAAAATCAACATGGTACCTGGTGTACAGATGGGAGCTTCAGATCCAATTGGAAGAACAGAGCTTTTGAGTTTCCGTGAAAATGGCTACCGAGGAAAACAGCATCTCAGACAGCCTCTTGATTCCTACCTCCCAGAGTAGGGATGCAGGGAGAACCCAGGAACAACATCGAGATTTTGTTCTAAACTTTTGTATTTACTCATTTAACCATCCAAGCAGCCTTGCAAGCTTAAGACATTTTATCTCTTTTATATTTGACTTGGAGAGACAGAGGGGAGCCAGGCCAGCCAAGTGATAGAGGGCCAAGACCACACAGCCAGGCAGTGGCAAGGCTGGGTTCTGTACCAGGAATGTGGCCCTTCCTGCCACTGTACCATGCTGCTTCCTGGAATACCAAGGTAGGTGAGAGTCAGTGGCCAACCAGTAGAGAAGAGGGGGCAGCTGCCCACCAGAGTGGGGAAAAGCGATCAGTTTACCTGCTGGGAGGGAGATCTAGAGAAGTGATGACTTTGCCCTACTCTTTCCCCCTTCATTTTAAAAAATATGAGTATGTGTGTAGACTTGTATGTATGTACGTATGTATGTATGTACGTACATATGTATGCATGTGCATGGCGGTCATGGAGGCCAAAAGTGGGCGTTGGATCCCATGGAACCAGAGTTACAGGTGGTTAGTGAGCTGGGAACCGAACCCACGTCTTCTGCAAAAGCTGTGGAGGATGGTGACTGCTGAGTCACCTCTCTAGCTCCATCCCTCTATTTCCCTTTCCAGCTATGTTTGTGTTCTACGCCGGGGCCTGACTTTTCCAGGAGATACAGCCTTAGGATGTCATATTACTTCTTCCCAGAAGGATGGTTTCCAACACAAACAAGGACAAAGACACATGGCTTCGGCATGTCACACCACACAGGTTTAGATAGCACTTAGGGCTCGGGGACCCAAGCATCAGCTTATTCCATCCACCCGGAAGTGTTTGTGAACAGAAACTGCCTTCACATCCTGGAGTGGCCAGCGGCCCCTACCTACTCTTGAGAACACGGAAGGGGTTACTCCAAGGGAAGGACCTATCCAGTAGCGCAGAGTGTTCAAGGGGCTCCGCCTTCCCAAGCTGCTTCTCAGCGTCATGGAACAAGATTTAAAAGACACAGTGGAGGGCTGAGGGAGCAGCGCTCTTGAAAGCAGTGGTCAGAAGGCTCAGGGCCCTCACTCTCTGGACACAGCACCATGAGGCAAACGCTGGAGCCCACCCGATGTAGGGTTCATTCAGAGAGCACAGAGCGCAGAAGGTGGCGGTCACCTGATGACACAGGAGTGGACTGGGATAGGCAGGATGGTGGATCCCTAGAAGGTACAGAACTACCTCATTCTGAGAACAGCGAAAAGCCTGGAACCAAGCCGCATGTGGCCAGGCCCATTCCCGCTCCCTCCTCGACATTTCTGGGCACTAACAGTTCCACTGCATCAGCGGATGTGTCTTGCTAGGCACCCATCCATGTGATGGGGTGGTGGGGGCATTCTTGTTAGTACACATGTCAGTGCATGCACAGCTAGGTTCCCAATAATTTTACACACAGATGATTCTTCAACAGTTAGAATCAAACCAAACCCACATTTGTCTTATCTTTTCCCAGTTCAAGTTAGCCCCTTCCCCTCACATGTGACTCTCCTCCCTCAAAAGGCTCACATAACTCAGCTTGGCCTTGAACTTTCTAGGTAGCCCCAGTGACTTTGAACATCTGACACTGGCGCCTCTACCTCCTGGGTGCTAGGATCACAGGTGTGTGCCCCCATGCCTAGTTTACATTCTACCATGCTGTGGATCAAACCCAGGTGCCTATGCACTCCACCAATCAGGGGACATCTCCAGAAAACATGCAGGCTCCTAATAAAATCTGCTCTCTTGACAATTCAGAGGCTCCTCAGTGACTCAAGGGGCCCAAGATTTCCCCAGAAAAGCAAGCTGGGAGACGGGTTAACCTGTCCGGGTTAACTGAAGGCCACATCACTAGGTTCTGTGTCCTCCAGCTCTCCTCTGCTGCCTAGAAAACCCTGGTGACGAGGAAGCTCCACTGTACCAAGTGCTAACATCAGTGAAAATGAACTGGCGCCTTCTTAACAGAGAAATGCATACGAGGAGGGACAAGAGCAGCCATAGAGGTCCATCGGGGCGGGGTAGCTTCAGAGAGACGATGCCAGAGAGCCTGGTTTTCACAACCCAAATCCTACTGCCCAAATGGGCCACCGCATACCTGAGCCTGCATAGGGGCAATGAGGGGCAAATGCAGTTCTCAACCTTCCTAACGCTGCGACCCTTTCATACAGTCCCTCATGTCGTGGTCACCCCCAACCATAAAACTGTTTTCATTGTTACTTCATGACTGTAATTTTGCTACTGTTATGAATCACAATGTAAATATCTGTTTTCTGATGGTCTTAGGTGGTCCTTGTGGAAGGGTCATTCGATCCCAAAGGGGTTGCAACCTACAGGTTGAGAACTGCTGGGCAAAGGGATGAGACATTAGAGTGGTAAGGCTTTGTCTATTAAAACGGGAAGCTGGTCAAATACTTACCAAGTGGAAACACATTTTCTTCTCTTACAGCATGTAATTATGAGTCTTTAGGTCAGTACTCACAAATCTGTAACTGTTCTCCAAATAGCGTATTTTATTCTAACTACAGACAGAAGCTTTGCTTTCTGGCTAGAGATCCTAATCTACAACATTATTAAAGGGAACCAGCCAGCAACAAAAACATCCATTGGAATCTTGATGTTTGAAGCATTTTGATAGGGTCATCGGCCACCTTTGTCTCAATGTCTCTAGGAAGGAGCCCAGAGGCACTGACAGGCTTTAGCAACTCCGCCCTCGAGCTTCCATCTGTGATAGGTCAGCCCAGGAAGACCCCAGGGGAGACACCACAGCACAAATGCTCCGCAACTCCAAAGTTTTCCACAAGTGACTCAAACGGGTTTACCCGATACTTGGTAATATCCTTCTATGCTAAATTAACCCAAAGTCTCCTTCTGAAAATGATCAAAGGAAAAACACATAAAGTGACCAAGTCCAGAATCCCTAGCATTCCTCCCTGTCACACCTCTGAGAGATTTAGGGAATACATTCTGGACCAGTGGACATCCAAGCAGGAGCCAGGAATCTGGGCATCCAGGCAGGAGTCAGGAGGTGAGTGCTAGGAACTGCTGAGAGTTGCTGCCTCTGTGTTAAGGGCAAAAGACATGGGAGCCACGAACTGCACCAGGTTCTTTCAACCTATGCAGGTTGGGAAATGTCATCGTCACCTATATATCACAGTAATGATCTCGAAGGATGAGACTCTA